CCCAGGTTGGCATAGAATGCACAGCAATCCTCCTGCCTCAGCCTCCTGAGTGATGGGATGATAGGCATGTGCCACCACTCCCAGATGTTGCAAGGGCTGGGATCAAATCCACATGTAGTCAGTCTAGACTCCCTCTTGGGTCCCCAACTCTGTCTCTTCTGTTTGTTCCCACCTTCCTACACCTTCCTTGTCTCCAAAGGCTGGGTCGCTGGCTCAGGGCACCCACCTGACCAGGGGGACAAGAGCCCCTTGGCCGCCGACTGTGTGACTGAAGAGGGTCCCCAACTCCTCTGTTGTTCCCAAGACTCTGAGCGCCCAGCTTGCCAAGGGACCCAGTAGGGGACTAGGAGACAGGGCTCAATAGCTTGAATGCCTCCGGTCCTCTTCCCTGCATCTGCCATGTTCCCCTAGCCAGGGCCCCTCTGTGACCTCTCTTGTACCTGTGGGGTGGGGAGCAGGCACTTCTGCCACAGCCCTTCAGTCCTCCATGGCTCCCCTCTCTCTTCAGTGGCCACTGTGAACAATCTTGCCTGCAGGGGACTGGACAAACTGGAAGAGAAGCTACCGTTTCTGCAGCAACCGTCGGACACGGTACTAGAAATGACCAGGCCTAGGGGACCCTCCCCTGAGGGTCAAGAAGGGGAAAGGAGCAGATGTGTAGGAGGTACACCCTACTTCAGGGCCACATAACTGAGGTACAGAACTAGGAAGATCTCCGTTCCCAGGACTAGGTAGGGGTAAATGGAGCCGCAAGCCCACAGTGCCCAGAATGACACCTTCCCCACAGGTGGTGAGCTCAGCCAAGGACGCAGTGGCCCACAGTGTCACAGGTGTGGTGGGCCTGGCCCAGCGGGGCCGGCGCTGGAGCGGGGAGCTGAGGCGTTCCATGAGCCAGGCCATGGACATGGTGCTGGGCAAGTCGGAGGAACTGGTGGACCACTTCCTGCCCATGACTGAGGAGGAGCTAGGTACTGACCGGAGAGGGCTGGGGCTTGCCTGAGGTTGCAACGCTCTGCACAGGGAAACCTGGAACTCGAGCCCAGGTCGGATCGCTCCCTTCACTCTGCACCCAGAAAATCAGACACCTGGACATCCCAAGGACACACAGGGCTTTTGCAGCATATAGTGGCCCTGAAAACGGCTTTATCTGGCTTGCGGATGTATGGATTTATTTCATGTCGTCTGTTGCTGTTGTTTTGAGACAGGGTTTCACTCTGTAGCCGAGGCTGGCCCTGAACTCATGGCCACCCTGCCTCTGCATTCCAAGTGCTGGAATGACAGGCGTGCACCACTGGACCTGGCTGTTTGGTAGAAAACCTGGGTTCAAGTCTTGGGTCTGCCTCAGGACTGCTAAAATACTTCAGCTTAAAAGTGTATGTGTGCTGGATGGCGGTGGCGCACACCTTTAATCCCAGCACTCGGGAGGCAGAGGCAGGCGGATCTCTGTGAGTTCGAGGACAGCCTGGACTACAGAGCGAGTTCCAGGACAGGCTCTAAAGTAAAACAGAGAAACCCTGTCTTGATAAAACAAAACCACAAAAACAAACACACACACACACACACACACAAAAAACAGTGTGTGTGCAAGCAAGTGTGGCACGGCAGGCACAGGAGGTTGGAGGATACCTCCAGGAGTCCTTCCACCATCACTGAGCCACCCCACTGATCTACCTCAGTTTCCTCGAATATACAGCGCAGGTGCCAGGGCTGGGACACAAGCCCAGCTCGGCTCCCATCCCCAGCACCCCATGAACTGCCGTGGCAGCACTCACCTGTCACCCCAGCTCTCAAGGTCAGCCTCGGCTACATAGTGGGTTGGAAGCTAGCCTGGGCTACATGTTCACTCTGTAGGGCTTGGTCAGTAAGAGGGGCAATGGTGACACGGGGACACTGTACAGCTGGGGACCTGGACGCTCTGGACGGTGGGTGAGCAGAGTCCCCGGTGTCCCCATCCCCAGCGTCCCTGGCAGCCGAGGCCGAGGGCCCAGAAGTGGGCTCTTTGGAGGAGCAGAGGCGACAACAGGGCTACTTTGTGCGACTGGGATCCCTGTCAGCGCGCCTCCGCCATCTGGCCTATGAACACTCTCTGGGGAAACTGAGGCAGAGCAAACACCGCACGCAGGATACACTGGCCCAGCTGCAGGAGACCCTGGAGTTGGTGAGCAGGCAGGGATGGTAGTCGGAGGCTTGGGAGTTCCCGCTGGGGTGGGGCGGGGTTCCTGCTGGCGGGGTAGGTGGGAGGGGGGCTCCCAGGGATCTGAGTCTACTAGGCTCAGGAAGAGACCCCATCCTGACACATAACCCTAGGTCCCATATCTCACCTCAGCCTTCACCCCAAACTGTCTCCTGCATTTTTCTGCCCCAACCCCCTCCTGTACTCCTCCAGGCTAATAGGGCCTCTGCCGCCAAAACGCTTGCCCAGTTCACTCACCCGCTTCTTTACACACACACACACACACACACACACACACACACACACACACACGCCACACGCACACACACACACATGCTCCTCATAGAGGACACACCAGAGGGCACCTGTGAGCAGTCTTTGTCCTCCTGTTCCTGCCACCCCCCTCCCCCCTCTGCCTCCTACAGCTTCACAGTAGGCTCCACCCTGCCCCAGGGCCCTTAACCTCCTGGGAATGCGACCCCAAAGTTTGAGTTTTTGCATTAATGTGGGAGCAGGTGTTAGTCTCCCTCCTCTTCCTGCCTGAATAGTATTCCACAACACACATATCCTGTATTTGTACCCACTTAGATTGCCCTGCCTTTGCAGTGGGTCCTATGCTATATTGCGCCCTGTGCCCGTGTGGTCCTTACTTCCTGTGCTCCAGATTCTCCCCATTGCCAGTGCTGGAATGGGACGGGTACTTCACACAGGCTGGGAGGGAGGGTGCTCAGCACTGAGCCATGCCCACAGGGGCGGGTGGGGCAGTTTGGACATCATCAGGTTACTAAATGCTTATTGAGAAAGCTCACTGTGTACCTGGCCACAGTTGCGTGTTTCACCAGCCATGTGGGGCCACGGGATCTTGCATTATCACCCCACTTTCAAACCCCCGCTGTATGGTATCACTGGGGTGTGGTGGCTCAGGCCTTGTCATCCCAGCACTCAGGCAGGCCTGCAGCTGTCCCTGCAGAGAAGCTCTGGCCCTGTCAATATTGACTCCATGTCCTCCCATCGCCCCCTTCCCACCCTCCTACTTCCTGTCTCTGTGGGTGTGAGACTGGAGCATCCTGGGAAGGGATCTGTGCTTGTGTGCCCCACCTTGTCCGCACTGAGCCCCATCTGAAGGACCACCCACAGTGGAGCAGTCATCTGCTCCCCTCTTCCTGGCTGCATACTGAATACTGATATCCCACACCGCGTGTCCATTCACCTTCGGCAGGCGAGGGAGGGAGACTATGCTGGGCAAAGCAGGGACTGCTGTGGACCGGGCTGTGACACTGGACAGACAAGAGGAGCAGAGGGGGGAGGGACCTGCTGGCCAACAGAATGAACAACTGGCTGTGTTCAGACAGTGCCCACTAAGGGCTGCTGCAGGCTAGGGTGGGCCCACTCGCCCCAGACCTCCAGCCTGACTCTGACTCCCGGTGTCCCTGTACCACAGATCCACCATATGCAGAGTGGGGTGAGCCCCATCCCCACTCCCCATCCCCCAAAGGTGCAGGAGCTGTCGGGGGACTGGACTCCATGGCCGGAGAATGGGCGCAGACACAGCCAGGTGAGGGGCCACGGGAAGGTGGGGCCCACTTTAGGCACCAGACAGAGACCCCGACTCAAGTGCTCTCAGGAAACTGAGGTAAAGCACATACTCTTGTATCCAATGAGGTAAAGTACGGTAGAGCTGCAGCCTCCATTGTTGTTCATAGGGGAAACTGAGGCAAGAAGCAAGGCCCTCACATTAGATTTCATGGGGAAGCTGAAGCAGGTCAAAGCTTCCATTTAGTCTGGTTCTCAGCCTTCCTAATGCTGCGACTGTTTGATACATGTTGTGGTGACCCCACCGTAAAATAAATTCACTGCTACACCATAGCTGTAATTTTGCTACTGTTAATAATCGCAGTGTAAATATCTGATACAGGACCCCTGTGAAAGGGTCCTTCAACAGCCATGGGATTGCGACCTACAGGTGGAGAACCCTGCATTAGATGCATGCGAAAACTAAGGCGGGGCCCTTGCAGGTGGAGCTGGAGACGCTGGCCCTGTCTCGCAGCCTGACCCTGGAGCTTCAGAGCGCAGTGGACGCGCTGGCGGGCTGCGTGCGGGGCCTGCCACCCGGTGCCCGGGCCAAGGTGGCTGAGGTGCAGCGAAGCGTGGATGCCCTGCAGGCCGCCTTTGCCGATGCGCGCTGCTTGCAGGACGTGGCGCCCGCCGCTCTAGCCGAGGGTCGGGGCCGGGTGGCACGGGCGCACGCCTGCGTGGACGAGCTGCTGGACTTGGTCCTGCGAGCCGTGCCCCTGCCCTGGCTTGTGGGACCCTTTGCACCGGTCCTGGTGGAGCGGCCCGAGCCCCTGGCCGACCTGGCCGCCTGCGTGGACGAGGTGGTGGGCGGCCCCGACCCGCGCTGGGCGCACATGGACTGGCCGGCCCAGCAGAGGGCCTGGGAGGCCGAGCACGCAGACTCGCGGAAACAGGCCGAACCCCCGAGTGGCCCTCCCAGGCACAGACTGATGCCAGAGCTGGACTTCTGACCAACGAGGCCCCTGCTGCCCCCTGGTGGTTACGTGACCGCATTTACCCTGACGGGCAGTGGACTCGACGGAGGCCACGCTCCCTCTCTTGTTATCCTGTCCCCGCCTTCAAAGTTGGCACACAGCTATCACGCCAGCACTCGAGAAGCTGAGACAAAAGGATTGAGATTTGAGGCAAGCTTGAGCTGTATCCTTAGCAAGACTGTTAGAAAAATGCAGCCCTGGCCTCCGAGGAACACGTGGTGTTCTGGGACATCAGTGTGTGTGTGTGTGTTGGGCGGGGTGGGGAGGAATGTGTCAAGATGTCCATCCAGGCCTCCCGGGCCAGAGACGCACTTGCTTTGCTGTTCATGGTCCAGAATAAACATGTTTGGTGTGGTCTGAGGTGGGTCTTGTAACTCAGGTGCTGGGGTTTTTCAAGGTGTGACTTTTCCGGTCGTGGGGATGGAATTTCCAGCCAGTGTTCAGGGTCAACGCATTTCTTAGGGAGCTGCATGGAGGAGCTTAGGTTAACTGTCACCTCCTCAGTACACCTAAGTGGAAGCCACTCATACTATAGTATAAATCAGTTTTTGGACCCTTTTGGCAGCAGGAGAGGAAGCATGTGTATGACCGGGGGAGGGGAGGAGGGTTGCTAAGAGATGGCCTCTCTTCCCCCTCCTCCCTGGACCTGGCAGGCTACACTGGGGTAGGGTTGCGGGAAACAGAAGCAGGGCGGAGGCCGAGATAGTCCCACAGGGCCCTCCTGGCTTCTCACCACATTCTTGCCTGCCCCTCTGGCTCCCGGGTCAGGGCAGCCCCTGGCCTCCCTGAAACCCAGTCTGGATTGTGTTTCTGGACTTCACTTGCAGAAACCCCAGAGCTCCCTAGTGCTCTCAGAACAGCACCCCCTCTCTGCCTACCTGCCAGTGACCATCTTGTCCAAAAGGAACACCCTCCCCTCCGTGCCCAAGGCTGCCTTCTCCAGGGAGCCTTGTGGATTGGGGGAGGGGCAGGCGCTAGCTGGAGACCCAAGAGGGAGCTGGCTGCAACGCCCCCACCCATGCCCTCAGGAGCAATAGCTGGGGGCACCCACTTCTATTCCAGAACTGTCGCCCAACACAACCAAGGCTCCAAGGAAATGACCCAGGGGTGCCAGCCCCTCATCCCACCCCGCCTGGAACCCTTCCCCGCACTCAGTGCCAGAGTTAATCGCCTCATAGCTGAGGTCGGATCCAGGCCCAGGGTGGGAGTGGTGGCCACTCTGCCCACTTGGCAGACACGAAGTTGGGTTCTCACCCCCAGGGTGCCTCCTGCTCTACATTTCAGCCATGTGCCTTCAGTAGGGGGACATGTCACTGCCCTCCTTAGGACACTCTTCCCTTGGAGACCCTGTTTCTGCCTGGTAATGTAGTGTTTGTTGACTACTAATCACGTATGACCTCATTTTAAACGTGTATGCACCTTTAATAGCCCCCATTTATAGACAAATGTTTCTTAAGTGTCTGATGTGTGCCAGGCACTGTCCTGGTGTAGGAGATAAACAGGATGGCAGGTTAGGCTGTGTGGGAATCTAGAGGGAGGTATAGCAGGCAGGGGCATGGCCTGTGCAAAGGCCCTGGGGCAAGAAAGGGTCCTCCTGTGTTAAAGGCAGATCCAGGAGCACAGTGTGAGGACAGAGGCAAGGAAGTCCAGTGATGACTCTGGAAGGGGGAACTCAGCCCCAAAGGTGGTGCCTGATCAGGCGTTCCATCTCAGAAAAGTAGAGGCAGAGTGCATGTGGTCCCTCAGGGAGCCTAGCTGGGCTGTTAGTCACTGGGCCTACAGGCGGCCACCGTGGGCAGAGGTGACTTGGGCCGAGGTGGAGAGCAGGGAAAAGGTGCTGGGCCGGGTCCATATTGGCCCAGGAGAGAAGGCACGTGACTGCCCCCCCCCCACCCGCCCAGTTCTCTGGCTGCCTGCCTGGGCCGGCCAAGCCTGCACCCTCCCAGACCCTATAAGGCCTGGGAACCAGGAGCTGAGGCACTGCCAGCAGCGGCCCTGCTCTGAGGGACCTTGCACTGTCCAGGTGAGTCCAGCTGCGTCACTCAGCGACTGCTGCCTCCAGGTGGGTGAAGGGGGTGCTTATGGGGCCCAGAGTGGGAACAGTTCAGGAGGGACCCCCACCATGTAACTGCCCACTTCTAGTTTCACAGGTCACCATCATGTCAGCTTCAGGAGATGGGACCAGGGGTCCCCCCAAATCCAAAGGCAAGGTAAGAGAACAGAGAGGGGGGCCCCACCAGGGACCCAGGGAAGGTGACCCCAGTGTCCATTCACGCTGCCTCTACCCACCCCATACAGACCCTGAGCAGTTTCTTTGGGTCTCTGCCCGGCTTCAGCTCTGCCCGGAACCTGGTGTCCCACAGTCACAGCCCCACAAAGGATGTGGGACCAGTCCCAGACCCTACAGAGACTCCTGTCCCCCCGTCGCCAGGTGAGGGGCACAAGGGAGGTGGTGGGAACGGAGCAGCCATGCAGACTGCCCTAGAGGGACCTGCGGCAATCCTGCTGACCTTGTGTCTGCATTATCTCATTCAATGAGGAAACTGAGGCACAAATACTGGGCAACATACGCCTCAGCCCCTCTGCTCTTTGCACCAGATACCTGGCTGAGTGTTTTGCTTGTCTGAGTGTCAACAATAAAGTCTCAGAGAGAGCCAGCAGCTGTCCTGGGGACTCAGCTGGGGTGCTTGCAGCAGGCCACTAGTTGCCTGGAAGGCCACACAGCTGTGTCAGGCTGCTGGGGGCCATGGTGCAGACAGGAAGGCACCACTCACCAAGTGCAGGCTCCATGGGCCCCAAGGCTGCAGGGTGGCTGTCCAGCGTAGAAAGTCCTCCCACAGCCCTGTGTCACAGCGGCCAGAGCCATCTTTGGCAGGGAGGGGGAAGGAGGCTAGGCCTGGCTCCTGCCTGTGGATGCCACCTCCTGCTGTCCCTGGCCTGAGGCTGGGACATTCCTGTCCTTTGGGGCCATGCCTGGAATTGCACAACGGCAACAAGCTCCAGCTGGAGGCCCGCCCCTCACTCCCGAACTGGTTCTATTTCTGCAGTGGCCACCGACCTGCAGCAGACGGCGAGGGGTGCGGAGGGGCTGCTCCAGTCTCAACAGGTGAGCAGGATCGGTAGGCCTTGGACAGGAAGGTCTAGAGGGTTCTAGCTCCTTCCGTGGAATGGGGATTCAAAGGACAAAGAGAGGTGGTGCCCCTAGCACATTCTCTACCCTGGGCCTCAGTTTCTACATCTGGAAAATGAGCACACGATCTCAACAGTCCTGCGGCTCAATGTTTAGCACTTACATGTTAGCCTTCCCCTTCCCCCTCAAGGAGCCAGGGGCTGTACCCCACAAAACCACATGGCAGGTACTGAGAAACCCCACCCATACTCCTGTGACTGCCTTAAAGCACCATCTGGGCCAGAAATGGTGGGACTGAACCCTGTAGATTCAATCAAAATACGTCCCTGGTAGCCAAGGCCTCCTGCCAGTCCCTCTGAATCTTTCATCCACTAACCCAACCTTGAAGGAGGTGAATTTTTGTATCTGAAACAGGGTCTCGTGTAGCCCAGGCTAGCTGGTACCTCATTCTACAGCTGAGGCTGACCTTGAGCTCCCGACCTCCCTCCCTCAGCCTTTCAAAGGTTGGATTGAAGGCTGTGTCCTCCACCATGAGCTGCAGCGTCAGCCCCAGCAGGCAGCAGTGTATTTTCTAGGGGACAGCAGGCTAGTGAGGAGGTAAGACACCATTGGTGCCTTCCATCACACAAGCGCAGGAAGCGCTGGGGACTCAAGCCATTACAGAATGCTAGGTGAGCACTGAGCTAACTGGGCCATACTGTGGGTTGCATGCTGGGCTGGGCCTCCACCCTCTCCTGCTGGGACAGCTACAGTGTCTCCAGGTGTGCTCAGAGTCCCCTAGGCTGCTCAGGCAGCATACTGCTGACATACCAGCAAGTCCTCCTACATAGCTAATTTTGGGTTTACATGAGACTGGCATCAAACAGCAGCAAAGTGACAACAGCCGCGGGCCCATGGAGATGGTTCCCAGAGGACACTGATAGGGTCTCTGCGAACTTGCATTTTAGTTGAGACAAGGTCTCAGTGTGGCTAGGCAGCCCTTGACTTGAGTCCTCTGACCTCAGCTTCTTACGTGGCAGGATTACCTGCCCAACTGAAAAGTATCTTTATAGCAAGTCCCCAGACATTACTTTGAAGCTGGATGACAGTGGGATGTTTGGCTAAGGTAGGTGGGAAGTCCCAGAAACCTGCACAGAGGGTGTGGACAGCAGTCACCCTAAAGGGTCTTTTGTGAAGTGTTGACCTGTGTCCTTTTTCATTAGACCACGGCTGGGAACAAGGATGTGGGAAGTTCCAGTGTGACTGCTGGGAAAGACGCCTTCTCCTCCGGGGTGGCCGGCATCATAGACATGGCAAAAGGAATGGTCCAGGGTGGCCTGGGCGCCACCCAGTCAGCCCTTGTGGGCACTAAGGAGGCAGTGTCCGGAGGCGTGACAGAAGCAGTAGGGATGGCCAAAGGTCTTGTCCAGGGAGGTCTGGACACCTCAAAGACTGTCCTTAGCACCACCAAGGACACGGTGACCACAGGACTCACAGGGACTGCAAACATGGCCAAAGGGACAGTAAAGACGGGTCTGGACACCAGCAAGAAAGTGCTGATGGGCACCAAGGACACGGTGACCACAGGACTCACAGGTGCCATTAATGTTGCCAAAGGGGCTGCCCAGGGAGGTCTGGACACAGCCAAGTCTGTGGTCATGGGCACCAAGGACACGGTGACCACAGGACTCACAGGGTCCGTGAACGTGGCCAAAGGGACAGTGCAGACTGGTCTAGACACCACCAAATCTGTGGTCATGGGCACCAAGGACACGGTGAC